GCCTGGCCGTCGTCGTCGGCGTCTTCGGCGCCCTGTCGCAGCACCTCGGCGACCTCCTGGTAGATCGGAGACTCCTTGAAGCCGCGCACCTGCAGCCAGATTCCCTGCGGTAGGAAGCGGGGGCGAAAGAGCTGGCCTGCCGAGCACTCCTCGCGCCGCTGCTCGTCCTCGCGGTGGAACTCGAAAGACACGACGGTGGCCCGTTGCTCCTGCACGAGCCCCAACTTCTTCTTCAGCTCTTCCTGCGCTGCCGTGAACCGCACCTCCATGCCGACGTGGGCTGGCAAGACGCCGTGGATGTCCCCCGTCTTGCGCATGTTCGGGACGTTCAGGAGGCGCCGACCCGCGTCGGGATCGCCCTGAATCGTGCCGCACTCGTCAACGGCCTGCAGGAAAACGAGGGGCACGCCCAGACGCCGAGCGTCGCGACGAGCACGCGTGTTCATCCACCTCGCAAGCGTTTCCCAGTAGATGCCCATGCCGTAGCCGAGCCGAAAGTTCTCGTGCTGGTGCCGAGGGTCCAGGACGCCGCGGTTGTCCGTGGCCAACGTCTTCTCCCAGGCGGACCAGACCTCCGGTGGGAAGGGTTTGCCCTCGCGCATGCAGCCCAGGAGCGTGATCAGCGGGTCCCCAGGCTCGAAGCGCTTCGTGCCCTTCAGCTCGAAGACGCAGGGGGTCTGAGAGAAGACCTTGATTGCGTGCTGGATCTCCACCGTCGGCGGATCCGCGTACCTGTATGACTCGTCGTCGTCCAGGCGCTCGTTCACGTCCGTCAGGAGGCCCATGCTGCTGGTGGGCTTCAGGTGCAGGAAATCTCCGAGGTGCAACACGATAGGCACGCGCCCGAAGTGGTGGTGTGGCCGCTGGTAGTTGGACTCCTGCACGTCGTGCGTGTCACTGCGTCCGTGGCAGGCGCGAAGGTCCAGCGCGTTGTACAGAGCGGATGCCACCATGCTGTTGTACAGGCATACGAATTCCGAGGACCCTCTTCGGATTCGAAATTTACAAATGTGGCCCGGGAATGACGCTCTGGGAGCACGACGAACACAAAATGCCTACAGTTGGCTCCGGACATCCAAACTGTGGCCCGGGAATGGTGTTCTGGGAACAGGAAGAACACGAAGTGGCCTACAGTTGGCTCCGGGGTTTCAAAATGTGGCCCGGGAATGGTGTTCTGGGAACACGAAGAACACGAAGTGGCCTACAGTTGGCTCCGGGCATGCACAATGTGGCCCGGGAGTGGCGTTCTGGCAGCGCGAGAGCCCAAAAGTGACGACAGTTACAAGGTTTGGATGACCCGCTCGGATTACCAACATGATCTGCGGGCCCCATAAGGAGGGGGCTCCCGCCTGAGACTTCCTCACAATTCACTCACAGACGAGGCTCCCGCCTGAGACTTCCTCCAAATTCAGGCCTGAAGAGCCCAAAAGTGACGACAGTTACAGGGTTTGGATGACCCGCTCGGATTACCAACATGAAGCGCGGGCCCCATAGGGAGGGGTTCCCGCCTGTGACTTCCTCGCAATTCACTCACAGACGAGGCTCCCGCCTGAGACTTCCTCCGCACTCAAGCTTGAGGAGCCCAAAAGTGACGACAGTTACAGGGTTTGGATGACCCGCTCGGATTACCAACATGAAGCGCGGGCCCCATAGGGAGGGGTTCCCGCCTGTGACTTCCTCGCAATTCACTCACAGACGAGGCTCCCGCCTGAGACTTCCTCCGCACTCAAGCTTGAGGAGCCCAAAAGTGACGACAATTACAGGGTTTGGATGACCCGCTCGGATTACCAACATGATCTGCGGGCCCCATAGGGAGGGGGCTCCCGCCTGAGACTTCCTCACAATTCACTCACAGACGAACTCCCGCCTGAGACTTTCCTCCAGGTGAGTATGTGAATGAGTGAGCGTGTGACAGAGTGCGAGTGATGATGATGATGATGATGATGATGATGATGATGATGATGATGATGATGATGATGATGATGATGATGATGATGAGTATGTGAGTGACTGAGCGTGTGAGAGAGCGCGAGTGATGATGCTGATGTTGATGATGAGAGAGTTTGAGTGAGTGTGAGTGTGAGTGAGTGGTGATGATGATGAGTGAGTGAGTGAGTGTGCGAAGGCAGAAGAGGAGAGGGGGTGGGGTGAGTGTTCCTGCGCGGGGTGTGCAGAGAAAACAAGAACCCCACTTTGGATGTGGGGAAAAATATCAAGAATTAGCCTGGCGAACCATACGCAGTTGTGAATACCGTCGTTGAATGTACCGCATTCGGAGGAGCTCCCTATAGGACCACGAAACGTGTGAGAGGTGTGCCAAAAATTGTCCGGTGGGCGCATGCCAAAGCAGTCACTGGGGCCGTCGGTGGAATTCCCACTGGGGCCACGAAACGCGTGAGAGTTGTACCGAAATAGGTGCGGTGGGCGCATGCGAACGCAAGCAGTGGGGCCGTCGGTGGAGCTCCCTACGGTGCCGCGAAGCGTGTGATGGGCGTGCCGCAATGTGACCCGTAGGCGCATGCGGACGGTGGCACTGGGGCCTTCGGTGGAGCTGCCTGTGGGGCCGCGAAACGTGTGAGGGGTGTGTCGGGATGAGCGTGGGTGACGCATGCGGGCGGTGGCACTGGGGCCTTCGGTGGAGCTCCCTGGGGGGCCACGAAACGTGTGAGGGGTGTGCCGAAATGGGTGTGCGTGACGCATGCGGGCGGTGGCACCGGGGCCTTCGGTGGAGCTCCCTGTGGGGCCACGAAACGTGTGAGGGGTGTGCCGAAATCGGTGTGCGTGACGCATGCGGGCGGTGGCACTGGGGCCTTCGGTGGAGCTCCCAGTGGGGCCACGAAACGTGTGAGCGGTGTGCCGAAATCGGTGTGCGTGACGCATGCGGGCGGTGGTACTGGAGCCTTCGGTGGAGCTCCCTGTGCGGCCACGAAACGTGTGAGGGGTGTGCCGAAATCGGTGTGCGTGACGCGTGCGGGCGGTGGCACTGGGGCCTTCGGTGGAGCTCCCTGTGGGGCCACGAAACGTGTGAGGGGTGTGCCGAAATCGGTGTGCGTGACGCATGCGGGCGGTGGCACTGGGGCCTTCGGTGGAGCTCCCGATGTGGCCACGAAACGTGTGAGGGGTGTGCTGAAACAAATGATGACGATGATGATCGAGGAGGGAGGAGGAGGGGGAGGAGAGGGGTGACGCAGGTCGCTGCCTCTTCAAAACCAGGACACGAAACCACAGGATGGTAGGGAAAAACAACAACATAATAATAGGAAATAGAAAGATAGTCCCAAGGCCATTGTTGGAATGTTTACAAAACTTTTATAATATTCCTCCTGTGGAGGGACATGCCCGACTTAAGCGTGGGGTCTGGGAACCACACGAGCAATTCACACAAACAATGAGAGCACGCGCCTGGGAGCGTTCGACTGATCACCATCCCTCCCGTTGTTCAAACCTCCGCAACCCTCTCTTTGTTTTTCCTCGGCGCATCAACACGCAACGAACATGTCGCGAGCTTCGGCCTGCAAATGCGAGCGAGAACGGGCAAGAAGGACGAGGAAGAGGAGAAGGACGAGGCGGAAGAGGGCAGAAGGGGAGGAGACAAGCGAGGTGCGCTCGCGCAACATCTGTCATACCCCTCCCCCCCATCCCTTACGATGGCGCAGATGTCCTCTCTATTCGCACAGCCGAATGCCGAACAAGGCAATGATCGGGAGGAGAAGAGCAATAAGCAAGGCAATGATGCCGAGCTCCCTGTGGTACTACGGCTCCTGTATCTTGAACACTCGCCGGGGAGGGGGCACGGCCAGCCTTGTTATTTTCATCGGCACCATGTTCGTCGATAGTGGCGTGCAGTCTGATGTTGGTTGAACGGCTAAGTTTACGTACCTGTTTGGGTGGCGCATGTAATTCCTAGGGTGGTTGCGCGTCCCGTCCCTGAGTTGCTTTAGCTTCTCGAAACACTTACCCTAGTGTGGAGGGCCAGACGTACGTAGGCCGCTCCAGACACGAGTCTTCGTTCCTGTTGAATTGGCTTGGATTGGCTCGTGTTCGTCACGGGGTACGCGTTCTACATCAGGCCCATGCAGTTTTGTTCGGCAACACCTGCTTCGACAAGTGGGTGGGTGTGGTACTTCATGGTGTTTCTTCATGGTCTTGGGACACGACGTTCTCTGAGGTGCACATGCTCGCAGAGTGCTTGGTGGCAGACTCGATTGTTGATGCTTGCAGGTGTTGGACTGTCTCTTATTCTTCTTCTTCCTTCGACTGCCGCGAGGGCTCGCAGGAGGCGGTGTGGCCTTGTCTTGTGGCAATCCGACTGGTAATTACTGGTGTCTCACGGGTCTTACGGGGATCGAGAGCCTGTTGGCTTACGGGCCTGAGTACTGATCATGAGTCGTGGGGGAACTGCTCTGTCGAGCGCGCTCGCGCATGCTCCCTCCGCGATCCGAGCCATTTGCTCCGGAGTCTCTCTGGTGCGCGTTCGCCTCGTGCATTTTTGTGTGATACTTGGCAGTATCACGATCTGTTTCGGAATCTCGACAGCGTCCCACGAGGAGTACACTCTTGCTTTGCTGTTGGATGTTCGCTGGTCTGCGCTATTACTTGTGCACATTATTCGATATTACCTGTCCTTTTTCTGCTACGTGGCATTCGTTATCCTGTTTTGCATTTTCGTGGGCAACTTGCACCTTTTCATGGCGCCCGTGGCGAGCCAAGCTTGGGGGGGCACAAGAGTTGCCCCTCAGGGAGTGGCGGCCCCTGGAACGGGGCTTTGCTCATCGTGGGGCCCGTGGGGCTTGCGAGTATCTCGGCCCTCCAGGTGTTGGCCCCTCTGGGCCTGTACAACCACCTTCAACGGAGGAGAAGAGGACGGTGCAGGCAAAACAAAAATCAAACTTCCCCACCCCTTTGCACCCGACACGAGGCCGAGGAGCAGCGCCGGGGTTGAAGAGCACGTCGCTGGCGATCTCGCGCGCCTCCCGCCCGAGGCCCCCTGAGGCAACGGCGCTCTGCTCCTCCATCATGGCCGTCAGCTTCGTCTCGTATGAGCTCTCCTTCGCGACCTCTGGGGGGGGGGCGGAAGGGCACTGCAAGGCGGCCAGAAGGAGCGGCGGGGAAGGGAGGAGGGACACGAATGAGCCAGATGAAGGGAGGATGACAGAGAGGAGGAGGAGGAGGAGGAGGAAGAAGAGGAGGAGGAGGAGGGAGATGAATAAACGAGAGGAGGGGAGTATGAGGAAGAAGAGGACGAGGAGGAGGAGGAGGGATATTCATGCAGGAGATACAAAAAGTATGAAGAAGAGGAAGACGCGGAGAAGGAGAAGGAAGATGGGGAGGAGGAGGTGGAGGAGGAGGAGGAGGGAGATGAATAAACGAGAGGAAGGGAGCATGAGGAAGAAGAGGACGAGGAGGAGGAGGGATACTCATGCAGGAGATAAAAAGAGTATGAAGACGAGGAAGACGCGGAGGAGGAGAAGGAAGATGGGGAGGAGGAGGTGGAAGAGGAGGAGGAGGAGGAACCGCACGGGAGCTTCGGCCCATGATGGGGGGGAGGGGAAGGACTGGGGGGCGCGGGAGGCAGGGGAGGGGAGAGGACGAGCGAGAATCGAGGAAGATCGAGGAGGGGGCGAGGAGGATAGGATAGGATGGGACTCGGCCTTGCGAGTGTGGGGGGTGATTTACAACTATACACACCGCGTGGTACGCGTGCAACTGCTACCTCGAACGATCGCATATATACTATACGAGGTTACCGGTAACGCGCGCCGTGCAGCACTCATCAAGGTTCTGAAAGGCTGTTCGCAGGGGATGTGTCAAACGCGAGTTGGAGGGAACGCCCTGCTGGCCACTGGAGGCCGATGCCCCACGGCCCGGCTGGTGCCAGGCTGGCTTCCTGGGCGTCCACCCAGCCCGACAAAGAAACTGAAACCTTATATACATATATATAAACTGTTTTAAAACAGAAAACTGTAAATACATATGACACGGAAGCGGGCACGCGCCTTTTGCTATAGACGCTTTGCGGCCTGAGGACCCTCAGGCGACGTTGAAGTGCGGCAGCGCGGCGCCGAACCCCGAGCTGAACACTACCATGCCCCAAAGCGGCGAGAAGCTCGAGCGCAAGGGGTTGCACGCCAGAACCGTGGAATCCGCGAAACAGGAAGTCATCCGGCCATGCTCGGAGAACGGCCGTTGCCATATCCATGCGCAATACGGCATCGGAGAGATAGGTGGGTGGCCCGTCCCTTCGGGCAAGCCCAACGCCCACCCACCACTGGCGCAAACAGGCTCATGACATAAAAAAACGTCGGCAGCAGCAAAAGCTTGGCGACGTGCGCCCAGCAGCCGCAGTGGCACGCTGGGGCTTGCGTTCCAACGCCCCCGTGGCGACGTGAGCCCAGCGGCCGCGATGGCACGCTGCGGCTTACGATCTAACGCCAACGACTAGCCCCTGTCGGGGCGCAAATAATAAATCCATCACAGAAACCACTGGCTAGCCCCTGCACGAAGAAACTCCCGTGCACGAAATGCTCGCCCCCGAGCAGCCACGCGCGCCCGTGGAGCGTCGAGTGCGGCCGTCCAGTCCCCCCTCACAGCTTCTCGCCTTTCCCATTGCTCTTGCCTCCGAGCTCGTGCTTGTCCAGCATCTTCTGGGCCAGGTGTTCGAGGTGACCCTGGGGAGATGCGCCCTGCTTGAGAACGCCGCCCATGCCTTTGAGTATCACCGCCGTCGCGCTCTCGATCATCACCTCGGAGTAGGTGTGCGGCTCGTTTGCGTCGCTCGTGACCTGCGCCCCGCCCACGATGGCAAACCGCGATCTGGCCATGTCTTCGTTGTAGCACCTCTTCCACCTGAAGTGTCGGATCGACAAACCTAGCTCCTGTTGCTGTCCACGTAGTATAAACTTGTTGTAGAATAGGCGCACCACCTCAGGTGCCCCCCCCAATCTCCCAGCTCGACTCCGCTTCCACGAAGAACTTGTACACTGCGCGCGCGATGCGCAAGTGCGGTGGCCCCAGCTTGCCCTTCACGCACGGGGGCCCAGCCGCCTCCGAGTAGAGCTTTCCAGCGGCCCTGGAACCCACGATATTTGGGGCGGTCGTCGGGGCCAGCACGCATGCCCAGATCGCCGCGGCCACGTCGCGAAGCAGCTCAAAGTGCACGCAGAAACCTCTTAGGAGGAGGCTCAGCGCCTGCGCAATGTCTCTTGCCTTTAGCGCCCCCTCCACGGCCATCAGCGCGCCCTCCGCGTCGCCTGCTGCTTCGGCCACTCCCTTTGGCTGTTTGACTCTGCTGCCCTCGCCACTCGATGGCTTTGCTCCCCTGTTCCCCAGCTCGCTGAGAGCCGACAGGTCCATCGTGTCGATTGGCGCCGCCGCGGCCACTCCCTCTCCAGGCGCGGCCGGTCCTCCGCCGGCGCACTTCGGGTCGCGCGAGGGGGCAACGCGAGCGAATGTGCACCTGCAGGTCGAATAGAGTTTGAGCCCAGCGACTGCATACAGGACAAACCTCTTGGCATCGCCACATCCCGCGCCAAGAAGGAGCTCCTCCCCCGACTGCAAGTGCTGCGTTTGAACGACCTCATGACGCGTCGTTCGGCGTTTTGGTTGGCAATAGTCAACATCGCCGCTTCGTTTCAGACTCCGCGCGCCCGCCCAGCGCGAAGAAAGAGAGCCTTCATGGCGCAGAACCGCACTTGGCGCCCGCGCTGAGCACCACGTCGTGAAACTGGCCCCTGGGCCGCCCCCTGCCACCACGGGGGCCTCTGGCACCTCGGGGCGGCACTCAGGGGGCGCGAAATTTGCCGGGTAACTCCTGGCCCTCAGGGCGGAGAGGTCCACGTCGGCCCAGCCCCTGCAATCTCGAAGGTAAAGCAGCTTCGAGAGGGGGTGCTCTGAGGGGGCCATCTCGGAGAAATCCTCGCAGCGGCTGTAAGCGCGTCGGAGGTCCTCTAGAAGCTGTTGAGCCCAGGGGTTGGTCTTTGTTGAGCGCCCCCCCTGGGCGGGGCCATAAGAGGCCTCGTAGGGGGGGCGCCGACCAACTCGCGATCAGGGATCGAAAGATCCAGGGATCCTCAGATATGGATAATTAAAGGCCCCAGCCAACAGGGATCAAGGGCCCAAGGAACGTAGGTCCAGGGATCCATGGGGGCCGAGGGATCCTGCGGGGCCTGAAGTAAGGATCCTTGAGGTCTAAAATCTAAAAAAATGAAGATCCTCGGATCCCGCGCATCCCAGGTACCACCGCGAACGCCCCACGCGGCGCCGGGCTGGCTCGGGGCCCCAGGCGAGGACGACGAGAGGGCGAGGCAGGGGAGGGCGAGAAGGATGATGAGGGGGAAGAGGACGCGCAGGATGGGGGAGGAGGCGGGGGAGGGCGACGAGGCGAAGGAAGAGGGCAGGGGAGTGGACAGGGAGGGGGGCGGGAAGAGAAGCGAGGAACTGGAGCAGCAGGAGCACGCGCTCAGCAGCGCGCGCCGCCGGCTGGGCGACCGCTCCGAAGATTCCGAAACCTCCTCCGAGCGCGTGCAAACTGCACCGTGCCCCGTTCTACCCCCCCCCCCCATCCCCTCCTCCTCCTCGCCCCTTCCCCGCTGCCCCCCCCGCCCCGCCCCCTGCGCCCTCCCCAGGGCCAACTTTGGTCGCGCCGCAGACCGCGGCCAAAAACATCAAACATGCATTATGCGTGCAAGCGGCCCCGGGCCCCCCGCCGCGCCCCGGCAGCGGGCGAGCAGACGCCGCGAGTAGCTGAGACGCAGCCTGCAGCGCCCGACATAAAATGAGAGGCGAGAGCACGGAATGGGAGGGGAGGGAAGGATGGGGAGCGGACGGGAGGGAAAGGGAGGGACGGTGGACATCTGGGAAGAGGAGCGAAAATAAACATGGAGGGAGGGAGACGAGTGAAACGAGCGGCCCGCCGCGCAACAGAGAGACGTTCAGCTGCGGGCCGAGCCCGCTGCATAATGCATTCGCTTGAACCCTCGGAGGGCCGCGCGGACATTTCGGCCCGGCGCTGGGCTCTGCCTCCCCGGCGCGAAGACGCCGCAGCAGGGAGCCAAGCGCCGATCCGAAAAATCCGCGCGGCCTCCGCGGGTTCACGCGCACGCCGTGGCACGCGGGAAAACTACGAACCCCTCGCCTTCGCCGACGCCGCGGTCAGCTTCTGAAGTTCGCCCTCCAGGTAAGCGACGAGATTCTTCGGTGGCGACGAGTTCTTGGCCTTCCGGAGGTGGTTCGAGATCGCCGCAGCGCGCTCCCTGGTCGGCAGCTCCCGCAACTTCAGGATGAGGAGGGCCGTCGTGGAGATGACGCAAATGAACTTCCTGCCTCTCGCGATGGCCTCCGAAACGGCGCTGGCGACAGCCGCGCGGTTGCTCTCAAACCGCCTGGCGACCTTGCTGTCCAAAGACTTCACGTTGGGATACAACTTGTGCAAGGCAGCCCATGCGCGGCCGAACTCGTCCCAAGAGGTCGCCAAGATCTCAGTATTGATCTCCCCCTTGTCGCCTGGTCGGGTCCTTGTGGGCTCCTATGCGACCCCCAGAATATCCTATAGGGCTCCTATACGAAGCCCATCGGTTCCTATAAGACTCCTATACGAAGCCCATCATATCCTATGGGACTCCAATACGAATCCCATCGGATCCTATAGGACCCTGTATACGAATCCCATCATATCCTATAGGACTCATATACGCATCCCATCCGATCCTATAGGAATCCTATACGAAGCCCACCGGATCCTACAGGACTCCTATACGAATCCAATCCGATCCTGTAGGATTCCTAACAATACGAAGCCCATAAGATCATATAGGACTCCTATACGAATCCCATAGGTTCCAATGGGACTCCTATACGAATCCAATCGGATCCTGTAGGATTCCTACACGAATCCCATCGGATCCCATAAGCTCCAAACGACCCCAATAGGACCCCCATGCGGCCTCAGGGCGCGGGGTAGGCTGCGTTGCGTTGCGTCGCGTTGCGCCTGAGGTGTGGGGGGCGTGCGCTTCCTAGTGGCCTTGTCGACAACAACAACAGCAACAACAACAACAGCAACAGCAACAACAAAACATTTCGTCGGAAGTCTGGGAAAGGGCAGAAAGCAGAGGGCAGACCACTATGCAGTACATCGACGTGCCCAGGGGCTTATCCACCGCCTGGGGGAGCGGGTCCTGGCCAACGGGCGGCGGCCGAAGGTGGACGGGAGGCCACAGGCAGGACTCTGCGGTGCGCCGAGGACGGAAGTCGTCGTCGATGAAGTCGTCAACGTCGTCGATGAGTCGGAATCGTCGATGAAGTGGTCGCCGCTGTCGTCGTCGTCGTCGTCGACGTCGCCATTCTGGACTGAATGCAAGGTTCAATAGAAGAGGAAGCTACAGCTTAAACGCAAACTACTGGCGCACCGCGCGGGTTTCTTGAGCCCTCGCTGGACCCTCCTCCCTGGCGCGCGGAGCGTGCCAGGGGGCGACGCCGGAGGCGCCGCGGGGGGGGGAGGCACAGCGCGGATCCACAAAATCCGCGCAGAGCGCCGAAAGTTTATGCTTATGACGTTTTCCCTCCTTCGACTCGGTGCGCCCAGCTGGCCCGCGGCCGAAGGAGGGCCCGATGGCCGAGCAAGTCTTGGGCCGCAGCGGGCTGCCGGAGTGCAGTGCCCCGAGGGTCGATGCGCTGGGCCCGAGGCACCGAAATATAGGCCATGGTGGCGCGTTTTTGTGCCTGGACGACACTGGCGCTCCCAAAAGGCAGGAGGCGGCGGTGACCAATTGTCGGGGCCTTCCGTTTGTTCAGAACCATGCATCCGCACTCTCTGATTCTATATCGGCGGCGGGCGAGGGGTGAAAGTGAGAAGGAGAATGCCTTCACAGAAGGCGACAGGACTTCTCAGAAGCCCTCGCGCTTTCTGACAGGTTTTCTGCGTCTTCGGGGAAGACTTAGAAAACTATTCATAAGGCCCGGGGCTTCCGAGCCTTCTGAGAATCGGCTACATGCAAGAGTGACCGTAGGCAAAGTGACCTTTGGTGCGCCAAGGGCTCCTAAGTTCGCGCTTCGCGCTGCGCGAAGCGCGAAGCGCGAATAACTTCGCGCTCTCGCGCCGCCCCCCCAAAGGGAGAAGAGGAGGACGAGGAGGAGGGGGAGGAGGAACGAGGACCGCGAAGCGCGAAGCGCGAATAACTTCGCGCCCTCGAGGGAGCCCTTGGTGCGCGGCTTTGGGGGGGGCGCGGGGGGCCAAGCCCAAGCTCGCGTGCCGCTGCTCTCGGATCGTATTCGGCGATCGGGAAGCCCCAAAGAAGATCGTATTCGGCGATCGTATTCGTATCGGCGGATCGTATTCGGCGATCGTATTCGGCGATCGTATTCGGCGATCGGGATCGTATTCGGCGATCGTATTCGACGAAGACCCGCACCAAAGGTCATTCTGGCGAAGGGTCACTCTTACGTGCAGCCGAGAGAGGACCCGCCCCTTCTCTCTTCCCCCTGGGAGCGCCTCCGACTCTACAGTAACTTCAACTACTTTCTGATACGCTGCACTGCAGCCTAAGGCACCACAAAGAATCAACGATGACAGCTGCAGCAAAGGAGCATGAGCGAAGGCGTCAACTGTGATATCACGTTGCCACATCAGCGCTACAGCACAGCATGCTGCCTTACACTACACCTCCCAAAGCGCACGATACTGCACCAGGGTATCAGAACATCCGCATTGCACGCAATTGGTCACATTGACGACATCCCTTGATCCCCTCCGCATCACGAAGCGCTACACGGTACAGCAAGGAATTGCCGCAAGTTCAAGCGCATCACCGAATAGCACCGCATTGCAGTACACCACTTTGCATGACGCTGATGTGCGCTACAATACCACAAGTCACTATGTAACGCCACGCTAATGCTCGAATGAATTACACTCCATGGCCCTGCATTTCAACACATCATGTCGCGCCACGTTATGTCACGTCACATCGCTTTACGTTAGAGGGCGTTCCGCTACATGTCGTCAAGCTGTATTAGATAGCATTGCATTGCTCTTGCGGTTCAGGTACGTCTGAACGTCTGAAATCACACCACAAAACACCGCATGACATCACGCTGATGCTGCATGGCAGCGTTGTCGCGCGTCCGCATGGGCACGAGAAGACTTTCGGATCCAAGCACCAATCGAACAGTCCTGGTTCGACTTCGACTCTCCGAGAAGCTTGCACGTCGCTGGTTTGCCGTCGCTGTCGACCTCACGACAAAGACTGGGAGGAGAAAGCTGAGAGGGGGACTGCGATGCGAAGAAGAATTGGATAAAGAAAGGGACCTCAGGAGACGAAGGGGTCAGGAGAGGGGGTTGGCGACGGGGAGCATCGATACTGAACAAGACAGGAGGGCGGCTGAAGGGGAGGAGAAAAACCACTGTAATAGGAGACGCAACCAGAGGAAGTTGGAGCAGGCGGTGATTCAAGTGGCTATCAGAAGGGGAGACCATAACATTCACAACAGGCGGCTGAAAAATGAACCATGCCACAAAGTGTTGCGATCATGTGTCAAACATGACTCGAAATGTCCCAGACGAGTATCGTGTGCATGAACATCATGAGATCTGAATCGCGTGTCGTTCAAAAAACGCTTTCCTGCATCCGAAAAATGAGGTGATTGGGACCACCTCCTGCATAGTTGCCGCCTCCCTCCTTCCTCATTCCTTTCGCGCTAACTCTCACGAGGACTCTCGTTCTCGCTCTCACTCGAACTCCCTTTTGAACTCACCTCCTCCTCATACTCTTCCTCCTCCTCCTCCTCCTCCTCCTCCTCCTATTCCTCCTCTCCCTCCTTCTCCCCCCCCTCCTCCTCCTCCTCCTCATCCTCCTCCTCCTCCTCCTCCTCCTGGTTCAATTGCTACGGATCGCGCGAAGGATGGGCTACCCAGCTGCTCTCATTTCGTTGGAGGTCCAGCAGTTTTTGGCGCCGAGGTATTTGCAACAGAGGTCGGTTTTGAGCAGAGTGATTTTGCCGTCTCGTTCTCTGGTTGCTGGTTCACCGAGGGGCGTGGGCCTGGCTAAACTGTTTTTGCACCCGATTCTGGACATGGTGCATAGGCGTTCGCCTGCTGCGGGACTCTGGACGTTCGTGGATGATACGACTGCGCGGTGTGAAGGTAGTCGTGCTTCAGTGGGGCCTGTTATGACAGCCACCGCCATGGACCTGAAGACAGGACTGGAGGATCAGCGTATGGTCATTTCGTCTAAGACGGTGTTGATTGGCTCGAATCCCAGCATCACCAGGAGAGTTGCGGGCCAACTACGTGCTCGAGGTCTACCGGTGTCAGCTGTCACGGAGGCGGTCGATTTGGGCTTGGACACTTCGGCGGGGCGCAAGCGATCGATACGGAAGTTGAGAACACGGATTAAGAGTGCGTGTAGAAGAGCAAGCAAGATTCGCAGGTTGCGACGGATTGGAGCTTTGTCAAAGATTTCACGGTCGCTGTGGAGTACTGGTGCGGTACCTCAGGCACTCTATAGTCATCAAGTGGCTGGGCTGAGTCGACAGATGGTATTGCAGTTGCGACGACAGGCTGGGTTCATGATTGGTGGTGCTGCCAAGGGCCGTTGCCTCACGACGACGTTGGGTTGTGAACCGACAGTTGAGGACCCAGCAGTGTACATCCACATTCAGGTGATCAAGGAATGGATAACGATGTGGCAGAGGAACCCACACCTTCATGGACGAGTTTGTGCAGCGTGGTGTGGTATACGTGACCGACTACGACGCGCTGGAGTACGGCGGTGGAGCTCTGTACGCGGACCGATTTCGGTGATGATAGCCACACTAATGGACATTGGCTGGGATCCAGTTACGGCAACATCATGGTTACGACCGACGGAGTGTGATGACGACCCTGTGGACCAGTGGGATATTCCAGCGGCTGGAGACCCAGGATTCACTCCGACAGGCAGTTTCCAGGCGCTCTTTGAGGATGCGGAGGCCGACATTCGCGGATTTCTCTGGAGGGCGGCCTCAAAACATATTGCTGGTCAAGATTTGGCAGGTGGTGGCGACATGTATCAGATTGTGTGAGAGCAGAAGCGTCTGGAACGTGCTAACCAGATGGAGTTGGTTGCAACGAACGTCACTGTCGTGCCTGCTGGCCAGTGGTACAAGGAGAGGTTGGTGGAAGAGGGCTACCAGGTCGAGCCTTTGTGTGCCCGCTGCGGAAAATGCCCCGAGTCTCTCTTCCATCGCAGTTGGCCCTGTGAGAGTAATGTAGGTCATGAGGATTTTGAGCGCACGCAGTTTTTGCTCCCGCAAGCGATTGCTCGACATGAATCCGAACCGAGCTTGTGGCTTCGGGGCCTCCCTCCCTCCTACCTTACCCACCCTCGCTTCGATGAGGAGGCGATTCGAGGATTGGAGGAGAGGCTCGGAGGCCCTGAGGACTGTTTGAGTTGCCGTCAGGGCGAGGAGCTCCACATGTTTGGAGACGGCTCAGGAGGCAAGTTTTCGGACGACCCCCGTACAGCAGGTTCGTGTCGTGTCGACCCCGGCGTTGGTTTCTGACCCCGCGGGGATCGTTCAACCTTGAACGATCGGCCGTTTCAGCAACGTCCGATCGTTCAACGTCGACCGATTCTGGGCCTCCGGCGGCGTTCAACGTTGAACGCCGGCGTCGGGGTCGCCGCTGGTCGACACGACGCGAACCTACCGTAGGAGAAGGTGTGGAGCGGCGATCACTGCACTGCGACCGACCGAAGGGGGTTTCGAGTTAGGTGCTGCGTTGTGTCGACCTGTGCCCGGGGACAAGCAGTCGGTTCCTAGGGCGGAGGTGTTTGCTTGTTCGATGGCGCTGTCGGAGATCCAAGGTCCGTTTACGTTTGTGACTGATCACTTGGCGATTTTCCGTTCGTGGAAGGACCGCGTGGAGGTCCCGCGTCCAGGAGGCCAAAACGAGGACCTGTGGACTGAGGCGCGCGTTCTTTGGGAAGCGAGGTCGGACAAAGATCAGTTGACTGTGGTCTGGACCCCATCCCATTTAGATGAGCATCCAGAGCAGCTTGAGACGCCTCTTGAGCTGTTCTATGCATGTGGCAATATGACTGCTGATCAGTGGGCGGGGAGGGCGACGGAGTTGGCGGGAGAGAGGGGCCTTCTTGCGGATATGCCTGATACGGATCAGGTTGACGCGCTGGCGGCGCTGATTCGCCGCCGAGCGCGCAGAGCGATGATCGAAGCCTCTGCTGCGGAGCCCCGCGCCAGATCTTCCCGCCCCGAGGCGGCGCCTAGAGTTTCTAAGCGAGACAGAATCCTAACGACGTCGGCCCACCAACTGAGGAAGTGTGAGTCGAAGTGGGTGTGTTTGCGTTGTAACATGGTGGTGGCCGACGCCGCCTTTCAGAGTGTTGCTGAGAGCCCGTGTGCAAGTGCCTCCCCCTTGAGCGTGGAGGCCTGCCCACTGGCCCCCGCAGCGGTTAGACTTGCAGCTGCGCAGGTTCACGTTACCCATCGTATGAGTTTCTTCCCACGATGGTTCATTTCGATTTGTTGTACCTGTGGCAGGTACCACACCATCGACCCTCGTGGGTTGGTGAACCGTTGCGAGGGCCCTTCGGCGAAGGGCAGGAAAATTTAAACCGATTGAGTCAGGGGCGCTTTCCACGAAGAGAAGGCCCCCCCAAGCCGATTTTGGCGGCTATGGCGGAGAGGGGGCATTTGATCCTGTCGTCGAGTGTCGTCGATGCGTCGTGCCGTGCTCCCTCCCCGCTGTAGGCCTCCCCTCCTCCCTTTCCTTCCAGACGTGAAGGCCCAGGCGGCAATGTTGCTGCAGGAGGCGTGGACCCGCCATCGAGCGGGCGAGATCCCCGCAGCCCTCCTGGGTGGGCCTGGAGGTGGTGGAGGATTTGGAGGGATTTTGTCCTCCCGTCTTTGGTTGGCCTTCGGGGCCGAGGACAACGGTCCGCGCTCAGCTAATCCAGCTAATCCTCCTCCTCCTCCTCCTCCTCCTCCTCCTCCTCCTCCTCGCCATCCCCCTCCTCCTCCTCCTCCTCCTCCTCCTCCTCCTCCTCCTCCTCCTCCTCCTCCTCCTCCTCTTCCTCCTTCCAAGCCTCCTCGCAAACCCCCGGTCGCCTCCTCCTCCTCCTGTTCCTCCTCCTCTTCCTCCATACCTCCTCCTCCTCACTCCTCCTCCTCCTCCTCCTCCTCCTCCTCCCCTCCTCCTCATCCCCCCCTTTGGCCTCCTCCTCCGCCTCCTCCTCATACGCCTCATCATCTTCCTCCTCCTCCACTCCTCATCCTCTCTCCTCCTCATCATCAGCATCATCATCATCATCATCATCATCATCACCACCACACCACCCCACCACCACCATCATCATCATCATCATCATCATCATCAGCAGCAGCAGCAGCATCATCATCATCATCATCATCATCATCATCATCATCATCATCATCAGTATCATCATCATCATCATCATCATCATCATCATCATCATCATCATCATCATCATCATCATCAGCATCAGCATCATCATCAGCATCAGCATCAGCATCATCATCATCATCATCAGCATCATCATCATCACCACCACCACCATCATCATCATCATCATCATCATCATCAGCAGCAGCAGCAGCATTAATAAAAAAACGATAATGATAGTGCTAATACTGAGAAAAGGAATAGTAACAACACTATCCGATTCAGCATCATCGTCATCAGCAGCATCATCATCATCATGAGCAGCAGAAGCAGCAGCCTGATATAATCATCATCATCATCAGCATCATCATCAACTTCAGGATCCTCGTCAGCATCAGCATCAGCATCATCATCATCAGCATCATCAGCGTCGTCATCGTCATCAGCATCATCAAAGTCAGCATCATCATCACAATCAGCATCATAATCACCAGCATCATCATCATACCAGCATCATCGGCATCACCAGCAGCCGCATCGGCATCATCATGTCATCATCATCATCAGCATCATCATCAGCATCATCATCATCATCATCATCATCAGCATCGTCAATATCATCATCATCATCATCATCAGCATCATCATCAGTATCAGCGTCATCAGCATCAGCATCATCATGTTCGTCATCAGGTTCATCATCATCAGCAGCAGCATCATCAGCATCAGCATCAGCATCATCATCATCATCACTATCATCATCATCATCAGCATCATCATCATCATCATCAGCATCATCATCATCATCAGCATCGCCATCATCACCATCACCCATTATCAGCATCGTCATCATCAGCATCATCATCAGCAAAATCGTCAGCATCATCAGCATCAACATCATCGTCAGTATCAGCATCATTAGCGCCAGCATCATCATCATCGTCATCATCATCAGCAGCATCAGCAGCATCATCATCAGCATCATCGGCATCAACATCATCATCACCACAATCACTATCATGAGCATCAGCATCATCATCACCATCACCATCACCCATCACCAACATCGTCATCATCAGCATCAGCATCAGCATCATCATCATACTACTGATAATAGTCCTAATACTGACAATCCAAACAAATGATACAAACACGACAATACTAATCAGCATCATCAGCATCAGCATCAGCATCGTCATCATCATCAGCATCAGCATAAGCATCGTCACCATCATCATCAGCATCATCAGCAGCAGCGGCAACAACATCATAATCCTCATCAGCATCATCATCAGCAGCATCACCATCAGCATCAGCATCGTCTTCATCATCAGCATCATCAAAATCAGCAACATCAGCATCCTCATCATCACCATCATATCAGCAGCATCATCATCATCAGCATCAACATCATCATCACCATCACTATTATCATCATCCGCATTATCATCACCATCACCCATCATCATCATCGTGAACAACTTCATCATTAGCATCATCATCGTCATCATCAGCAGAATCAACATCAATACTCTCATCAGCATCATCATCAGCAGCATCATCATCACCAGCAGCATCATCACAATCAGAAGCATCATTATCACCATCATCATCAGCAGCATCATCATCAGCATCATCAGCATCAACATCATCATCACCATCACAAGCATGATCATCAGCATCATCATAAGCAGCAGCATCATTATCACCATCCTCCTCCTCCTCCTCCTCCTCGTCAGCATCATCATCATCATCGTCATAATTGTTCGCCTCCTCCTCGTCCTTCTCATGATTTTCCTCCCCCAACTCCTTCTCCTCCTTCTTGTCAGCATTATCCACATCATAGTGTCTTCCTTATTGTCAATATTCGCCTTCGTCTTCTCGATATTAATTAGTGCTATCATTCTGCTTCGTATAAATATGCAACTTCTGAGTATGACTACTATCATTATGATACCGGGGAAAAACCACAATCCGAGACTTTTTTGGGTGATACGGCTATTGGACAATTGGGCTATAGGGCTATAGGGCTCTGGGGCTATGGGGTTATGGGGCTATGGGGCTACAGGGCCATAGGGCTATAGGGCTATTGGGCTATGGGGCTATGGGGCTCTGGGGCTGTGGGGGTAAATGGCAATAGGGTCATAGGGCTATAGGTCCACAGGGCTATGGAGCTATAGGACCATAGGGCTATAGAGTTATAGGGCTATAGGGCTTTAGTGCTATGGGCATATATAGAACTCTAGGGCTATAGGGCGATAGGGTTATAGGGCTATGAGGCTATAGAGCTATGCGGCTACAGGGCTACTAGGCTATAGGGCTATAGGGCTGTAATGTTTTGGTTTATAGTGCTATAGGGTTATAGGGCTATAGGACTATAAGTCTATGGGGCTATAGGGCTCCAGGGATATAGGGTTGTATGGCTATAGGGCTATTGGGCTGTGGGGCTACAGCGCTACAGGGCAATAGGGCTATAACGCACCCGGGCACCCGGACGCCTCGGCACCTGGGCAACCGGGCGGCAAGGCACCCGGGCACCTGGGCACCGGGGCGGGCCGCGGAAATCGGAGACACACCTCACCTAACCATACGAATCCGCTAGGACCCCTAGTTACAGAGGCAAGCTCTGATTGGGACTTTTCATGATACCGGAGAAACACCCCAATCAGGGCTATAGGGCTAGGGGGCTGTAGGGCTATAGGGCTATAGGGCTATTGAGCGATAGAGCTATAGAGCTATAGGGCTATAGAGCTGTCGGAGGTGAGAAGGTGAGAGCGAAGTGGAGCGGAGAGCCCCCTACCGGGAAATCAGTTTCGGTTTCGTGTTCGTGCGTGCCGTGCGTGCGGGCGAGGCGAAGCTGCGTGGGCGGGAGAGGAATAAGTCTTCTGTAGCTGAGGCGCGGCCGGACCGAAAGTCTCCCTTCCGGCACCCGGTGC